CTCATTGTTATCATTAATAATACTATAATCTACATCAAATATAAGAAACCCTAAAGAGCGTAGCTGTGTCTGGAGACCCAGACAGATCGTAGTTCTAATCTAATGCTATTATTTAATTATCAATTTATTAATTTACCACAAATAGTCAAAGGGTCTTGGAAAGTGGTTAACCGTCGCTAATATGCATTTACAGTAACTGTCCTTAAATGTGGAATGAGTTGCCAGGACGCTTGAACGTTTAATACAAATCTAATAAGTGTCAGATAGTACAACAAAAACTTTATTATTTATTATGTCTTGTAAAAAGTCATGGAACAAAAGTTTTTGTTTATGACGTTAGTAATATAGTCACACCCCGGGCACTGCATACAACGGTAGAAACTTATTTACCTACTACTACTACGTACAGCAAGGTGCCGCTGTCTGCACATACGCAAGTGTGTGTGTGATGTGGTAGAGTAATCCATAGCGTGACCATACGTCCCGATATCCCTAAAATATGTAACAATGTTCCGCTTTGACAAAACAGGACACACGTAACATTATGTTTTTTTAAAGTGAGAAAGCGAAAAATTCAAAATATGAACATATATAAAGCCAGCCCACCAGAATACACAACATTAATTCTATTTTTTAATTTTTGATCATCAACATTGACCTACTAATAAATGGACGTCGGGTTTGCGCTAAAAAGTTTCCGCACCTATTACAGGTTGTTAAAATCGCATACAGAGCGTCAATCGTTTTCGTTTGTTCGACTGACAGCGCGGTTGTCAATCATACAGTGCCAATAATAATAACTTGTAAAAATTACTGCAGTAAAGTGTAAAAACAGGATTTTGTATCATACTTTCACTAAATAAATATATTGTGTTATCATAGTTCTCATTTAAAAGTGTTATTTTGTACAGCTTTATAGTATTTAATTTATATATAAATGAAAAATAAACATATATAATTTTAAAAGCACACAAAATAATCAAATAGCTAACTGTCCTTTTTCTACACATTGCATGCGCAAAAGATGGAAAGAGACCCATTACGTCAATTTCAAGAAGCTTATATACAGTTCTTGGTTATTTTCAATTATTCAAACCACAAACGATTGAAATATTTAGAACAAAGAAACTATAGAGTCGCCTTGATTTTAATCTTATTTTTAAAATGATTTTTTTTATTAAACGTTAGCAATAACTAACAAAATATTGTTGTACTCGTTTTACGGCTTGAGATTACATATCAGAAGTCAGAAAATACATTTGCCCTCAATAACGTTTGCTCGAATTTTCATAATGTCCAATGTATTATTTTAGGAAGATTACAAAACAAAAGCTAATTTTGTCTTTGTGAAAAGCATCAAAATTACTCGAAAGCGTAACGGTTTTTAATTATAAATCGGTTTTCGGATTTACGGATATTTGAGTTTACGTTTAGTTGGAATATCGGTACATTTCTTGTAGTACACGCTTATTATTATTATTACTATATATTATATATTTGTAGTAATATTTGTATGTATGTATCTGTCCAACTCTTTATTATTTCTTTAAGTGAATTTGTACAAAATTCGACATAATAATATATATATACAAATTAATTCACATTTACGATAAAGGCTACTCAATGGAGTATAGAGGAATATATTCTAAGGGTCAACTAATTTTCAGTCGAAGCTAAATATGGTGAATTTTGTTAAATTAAATTAAATGCAAAATTTAAATTGTTGCTCTTAAATTGTTGCAAGCAAAATCAGGCAGTACTGCAATAACGTTACAATTTAAATTAAATGTTTTTTATATTTCGTTACATGTCACTACGTTTGTATAGGTTAACTTTGGACATATTTTCGTGGTTTTTGTATTAGACCCGACATCCATTTGTTAGTAGGTCAATGATCATCAAACAGTTTTAGTACTTTTATTAATTTTATTACATAATTAAACATTTCGTAACTATCATAAACATACACTTTATTTTTAAAACAATAATAAATTTATAGGCCCTTGCCCTCTCTGAGGGAAAAAATAATGGTCACGTTAGTTATCCATGATTTCCTTGAATTATTTATTCTCTGGGTTAACGTGTACAGTGGTAGGTAAGAGCAAATTAATGTATCGTATATGTAATAATATGTAAATAATTTTATCAAAAAACGAATGTATTGTATATAATTGTAAACAATATGATCATTACGTATGCTAATGTTTTCTATTTATTAAATACTAAAACAACAGTAATTACACCAATCTAAGTCAAATAAAGCAAATAAGTAGCTTAAACGAAAAACTGAACTTAAAGTGAATAACACTACCATAAATTACATACCTACTCTAAAATAAAATATATTCTATTAATAAAATGAAATGTCTAAATAATCTTTATGAAATCGTACTATATTCAAAATTCTAAATTTAAACATCAAAATCTTCCTTAGCAAACGCTGATAGACTTGTTGCCGTTACGTCAATGTGAACGCCAATATGAGAGACGCGGTGTGATATCTAAAGCTACGGAGAGTGACCTTTCGCGTTACTTTTTTAGTCTCTGATAAGGCCTGCGAAGTTGTTAGTATTTTACAAATTATCCTATATACGGGCTATTTTTGGAATAATTATGTAAACTTTACGGCAACCGGCCAATTTATTGATATTGTACACGGATGAAATATACTTCTGTCAACACGGAATCGCATTAAGGCGGTCAGAATAAGCTTTACGTCCATAAGAGCGAAAAACACGTGCGTTTCGCGTCAACGGCCAGAGCGGAAGCGAAATGTCCCAGGTCTTTTTCATCCTTAGTGCACGCAGATAAGAGCTTTTTCTGACCGGCTCAAGCCGACTACGAGTTATTTAGCCCTTATGCTAATGTCGAATATAAATTAATCGTCCACTGAATTATAATATTGATTTTATGATTTTTACTAACATGGTATGCATTGTTTATGAAATTACTCTAATAATTATTAATACAAAGATAGAATACAAAGAAAAAAATCCTTCGGTCCGATAGGACTCGAACATGTCTATCTAACCTGTGCCGATATAGGGCAACCGCGCTACTAACTGAGCTACAGATCGAGTCAGCAGACCTTACGAATTTTTCTACGCGTTTGTTACAGATCTTTGTTTTTTTGTTTTAACGGCTATTTTGCCTTAGTGCCGGTGAAAAATCTATGAAAGTTTTTTCTTCAGTCATCCAGGTACCCATTGAATTAAATCGAAGTCTAATCTCCCGTTTCAAAAATAACCATCCATGAAAACGTTTGCCTTTATAAAATTAGTGGAATAGGATATGATATGCACAAACCTGTGAGGAGAAGAAAGTTTGCCTTGATCCAGACCGGAAGAGTGACCCAAGCATACCATACGCGAGGTCCATTTTGTGCGTGACGTCACGGATGGACATACGCAGCTTTGTAATATCCGGTTTCTCTTTTGTACTCGAGTCCAAATCTCTAAAAAACAGTAAAATCTATGTTTATATTTGTCGTGCTAACACACATACGCACACACATGACTACTTGGTCTCAATCTGGAGAGTTCCCTATGATAATTGGACCCGTTTAACTGTATTATTACAATAAGTAGATACTATTGGTTACTAAAAACACTGCAAAGACGTTATCGCCATAACCCATTAGTTATTGGTCGATACAGAACTATTTGTACAATATTAACAACCTCGCAGGAGTATTACTAACACCGTAAACACCACTTTTGTTCCATTACTTTTTACAAAACAAAATCAATTTACTAAAAATAACCTTTAAACTTTTTGTTGTACTATCTGACACTTTTTAGATCCTGTATATATTTGGCAGTAACTTCAAACGTGAAAGCGTCCTCCCCGACGACTCCCATCCCCGCTCCTGCGTTTTGCTTCGGACTGGTATACGCTACCGCCTTCTTTTGTTGCAGCGCACAGTTATCACCGTCCAGAGCGATCTATTTAAATAGTGTTTTTATTTTTGTATGAAAGTAAACTCTGATGAATTATTAAAAGTCAAGGAACAAAGGTTCTTGTTTTTGATTTCAATAATACAGACCTGCGAGGTTATTAGTATTTTACAAATAAACCTGTATACGTAGCAGGAAACAAGTGAGCCTGACTGAGAACTTACTGTCGATAATAACAAACTTCTACCTTTCATACTATCTATAACAGGTGTATTACTGAATCTTGTTATTTAAAATAAAGATGAGTTGCTTGCAATCCTTACTTGTACATATCTCCCAGCTGTACATCCAAATTCTGTAATTGCGCGAACAATTGGCATTTGTCTGTCCATACATGTAACTCCTGTACCAGCTCTGGTACCACGAGAAAAGTGCGCCATCCGCCGATTTTCTTGGACTTAAGAATGTCACCGAATATGTGGTCTCCAACGTATAATACGTCTTTACCTTTAGCTCCTATCAGTTCTGTGAATACATCGCATGATCCTGGAAACCAATATTTGTTTGTAAGAACCCTTTTTGTATATCAATAAAATTATTGATACATACATTTGTACAAAAAATTAAATTTTACAAATAAATAATTTAATTTTGATAAAAATGTTAGTTATGCTTTTTTCCGTTCCGGTGGCAGTACTAGAACGAGTATCTATAATTTCCATTAGTAAAGGTAATGGCAACCTCCCATGCAAAAATTTTTTGTTGACATAATTTGTATGCATCTGTGTGTGAAAAATATGTGAAAATATAGAGTTGAAATTCCTAAACAAATTTTGTTTTGGGTTTACTATTTTGAGAAGTCAGGAATTAAAGATATTCCAATTCGTAGTTTTGGAGGTTATGTGTTACGTTACTGAATAAAATATATTCGGTGTATTAATATCAAAATAAACTACAGAAGCCTTAAACAGGGTTAATAGAAGCTGAATGGTGCCATGGATTTGTAACGTGACGAAAGTTCAGAGGAAATGACTTTGTATAAGAACACGTCAAGCTTAACACTTAGTACGTTAGACCGTACGTATGGTAAGCGGCATTGAGATTGGATTCAATCTTAAGTGTCAAGCTTGACGTGCTCTTGACCCTGTACCTACGGTTAAAAGTCATAAAATTAAGTAATAACAAAAAAAACTGTTAATTAATAACATATCACGCATACCACAGACTATCGCACTGGTAATTATTATTTTGTGAAACGTGTCTATCCCTGATTTTGGGAACTTTTTTATCAGTTTTACCATTTTCTCGCGTGGCATTGTGGAGAAGATTATTGACTTTATTTTTTGTGATGAAGTAGTTAATCTTTTATTAGCTTATTTATTACAAATCGGTCGAATCAATACATTTGATTTTACGTGAACTAAATGTGGACCGTATTCATACGTAGGTACTGAAATTCCTTTTTTTGGCGGCTAGATGTCGTTCAATATTAGGAAATTAAGAAAGTGATGGTTGAAGATATCAGTCCAGTTACATACGAATTAGTCATTAGAGTTTCTTTTAAATATGATTTTATTTCCAGACTTACATAGGCCGCTATTATAATTTCAAAAAACCTATTGAGAGTATTTTATTCAAACTTGTAATTAAGATATTTGAAGAAACTATTATGTTGCCATTGTTCTTTAGTATACAAGACAGTGGCTCTAAATAATAAATTATACCAGTCTACTTTAATGCCTTATTATATATATACGCATAAGGTTGAAATCTGATACGTCTATTCTATGAGTCTGATTGCAATGCACGGTGATTCACGCTCCATACTAAGGCGGTCATAAATACGTAACTCCGAAATTATTATTATTTTTTTATTTGATTACGTTAAAATATGATTAGGTAAACGTAAATTAATAAAATTATACATTTTAAAAAATATTTGACAATATTTAGGTGTAAAAATGTCTCGCAGTAATTTTGTTTTTAGACGATGTATCTAAAACATTTTATACTGCGACTTTTAATGGTAAAACTGTGTAAATAATGATTATTTGTATTAACAATAACCACAAATGAATAAATTAAAACAATAAAAATACATAAAAAAGTTCATTTTACAAAATACAAACAAAACACAAATTATACCAAAATACATTAAATCTCAACAATATTAACTTTAAATACATAACAAGTCTAATACAGCTTTTGACAGTACACCTTTTTTTTTAACAGGTAACTTTCGTAGACCTGTTATGAAGGGATCTGAATGAAGAAGCAGCCTATTTACTAAATCTGTGTTGGTCACAATGCGACTCATTTTACGCGTATGATTTTTTCTAAAAGACTTGATGTATTTGTTAGTCGCTTCAGCTGCTTCTTCAGACAACTCTCCGATTGACAACAAACCGTAATCTATAACATTAGCACCATGAATTAGAACTTTGTGAACGGAAGCAGGCATGTTATACCACGGATACTCGGCAACTAACTGCCGAGCCGTCTCTAAAGCGAACTCTTCGAAGTTCGTCTTATTAATATTATATCCCGAATTTAAACATTGAAGGATGATCCAGCAACGATCTAGGAGATCCTTCTTGATCCCAGTAATTTCAGCGGAAATTTCTAAATTCGAGAAAAACCGCCTGGCTGTATTACCATCGTTTGATGTTCCGCTTCCGCCACTTTTAGGCTTATCCACTATAAGCCCTAATCTTTCTCTAAATTGAGTCTGAACATATGATTTTTTTGCAGCAACAAGCATTTTGTCATTAGCGGACCTAGCTTGCCATTTCCTAACATCTAACTTGTACGCGACATGAACAAAATATTCAAAAAAACGTATTAACGCGTGAAGAGGTGATAAACCAAATTCATATTTACTCTCATCGACTTCCTTATTTAAACATTCGTCAATTTTGTTCATTTCACTGGGCAAGGCGTTACAAATAAAACATTTTGATGAAGAAACACCACTAAGTGCATTACACACTTTACCATCTACCATAGTAAGTTGCAAACAATGAGTAATGCGATATTCGCGATCTTCTTCCTTGAAAACAGTAGGCTGCAAGTTCCTTATTTTATCTTTAAAATGAGCTTCTTCCTCAACTGACGCTGCAGTCGATTCCTTCAAATATCGGAGGCGTATAGGACGACAGTATCGAGTTGATAAAGGACGAGGATTTTTCCACAAAACTACTGAATTTTCTTTGTTATCTGTTGTCAAAACAAGCTGAAGTGGCACATACGAAGTAACAAACAGGCTACTGTCTTCAAGAGTGGAGTCAGAAAAACACTGTTTATATTCTGAATGCCCTGTACTGCCATCGAAACCCCATTTCCCTATCAAAGATATCTTATCTAGAGACTCATTAGGTACACTATCCAAAACATCTTTTTGAGACTTGAGAATCCGATTGGCAGTATGATCTAATAAACTTTGAAGTTCGACTTCGGCGGATGATTCTGTAACAGTAATATCTGAAGGATAACAGTGTTTTTTAGATTCCACGACACTTTGGTAAGATGGGAAAATGGTTTTTGAAAACTTATTGTCTATAAATTTCTTTACTAATATATATTGATGTCGAGTTAACTGAGCTTCAACAATGAGCGATAAAACTTCGCTAGAATCGATTTCAGGACAAGACAAGCTATCGGACGCATTGAGCAATGACTGTACAAGAGAAGGGTCTTGGTTAGACAAACTAGCCAATCTTCTCCTTTTTGTACGTTTACTGGTGTCGTCAAAGTTAATTCTCGGACGGCCATGCGATGAAGAAGTTGATGGTTTAACTTCGTCAAAGCTCTGAGATACACGTAACTCAGTTCGCTGTACATCAATATTTTCAACGACATGCAGCCAATCTGAATATTTTTCTAAGAATTTAGATCTAGTACGATTCGACTTTGCCCAGTAGTGGGAAATTCGTTTACAAATATTCTTAATTTTAAGGCTTAAAGTCTCTAAATCAATATTTTCGATGTCGTCAGAAAGGGATGATGTTTCGGTCAAAGTGCTCAGGACGTGTTGCATTTTTTCATTTGGATTACCCACTTTAGAGTGCCAAATATCAAAAATTGTCATCCTCGATACAGAACATTTGAAAAATGTACCTAAAACAATATGAAAGCTGAACTTAAAAAAAAATTAAAAATTCAATACTATGGACATGCATACTTTGACACCCCTTTAAGCCAAGAAGAGGCAGCAAGATGCAAATGAAACTTATAGCTCTTAATAAGGACATACTCCTTATTCAAAAACCATATACCTCAGGTGCAGCTCAGCGCAGCCAAAAGTTGTAGGTCTAAAGGAAATTAAGTTATGCCAAAAATTTTCACCAAAAAACTGCCTTCAATAAAAAAATTATATTTAAAAAAAATATGCATAAAAAAAATTAAAAAAAATTGATAATAAAAGTACATACCATGCTCTTGGATCTCCATGCTTTCACAACACGTAAACACTTGATTTGGAATAGTGACACTCAAAAACAAAGTGATTAAGTTTCGATGACTCACACGTGGTGATAATTAGTCTCGCGATGCGCTCACTTCCGATGCACAAAAGTGAATGATAACGTGACCTAATTACATTGATATTTATAGTTTTTGGAAGCTTGTTAACTAGTTACTAACTTAGTGAGTTGATCTAACCGGGATAAGCCAATGATTTTTTTTGATTTATGGCCTATGGGGGAATCACAGTGCAATGAGTCACTTAATAGATTCTTATTCGTCGTATAAATTGCAAAAAATAATGGCTTGATAAGATAAACGTAAACGTGTTTAATCGCGTACTCTGTACTCCTAATGAATAACCGTGACTAACGTAATACATTTTAATAGTGCTTTAGTAATAAAATGATTTAATATTAAGCAGAATCTTTTCAATAATTTACTTATTTTCAAGGGTTTATCGTAGTATGCGCACTGTACAAGCACGGTGCGATAGTATAAGAACAAACAGCCTTATCAAGCTAATGCCACAAAGTAAAATGTTATCACCAAATGGCAATTACAAATGTTCAACAATCTATCATAATATGTCATAAATTTAACATTCCGTTGAAACAATTAAGAATGCCTACGGGCAGTTCAAAGGGTTTTTATCTCAAAACATTCTCAATTCATTTATGCACCACGAATTTGACTCATTAAAATTCTGTGTGTATATACATATGTCGGTCAAACTGAGTGATACGTTTGTGAACTTTATACCTTTCAGCCGTGACCACTCAACCGTAAAGGGCCCGAAACGTTGGTTTGTTTGAAAAAACAAATATACGCGATTTAAATCCTGAAATAGTTACATTTCCTATTTATACCTTTTGTTCATTTATTATCATAAGACTCTACGAGTGTGTTTCTACTACTCCCGCTAGAAGTAAAACAAAAACAATAAAATGATGTGATAATTCTATGCGAATTCAAAATAACAAGACGTAGATTACAATACAGAGTTCAAGGTCTAGGTGGCTATGGATCATAAAATTGACTGTTCCTCTCGATAACACTAAGCGTCTGCGCATTGCGTCCGATCCATATACGTTCTGAATCCAAGAATATATAAGATTTAGAAAACTGGGATCAATTTCGGATGTGGCTTGTGCATTGTATCCGTTCCAAATCGGAGAGAGAGAGAAATATCGCTTGTACACCAAGAGATTCACAATTCTAGCCATTCTGGTGCTTTGGTAACAATGCAGCCTTTGAGTTTTGTGATAAACTATGCGTTCTTTAAATCTGACTTTTCAGGTTTCTTTCTTAATTTTATATAAGTATATATCGACACCGACTCATTCCAATCACCCCTCCATGCCGCCGGCATGCGTCATTGCCGTTTCGGACTTGGACTAGACGCTGTGCTCAAGGGTTAATACAAATAATACTGTAGTTACTTTGGTCCGCGAAAATAATGATTCAAATTGAAGGTATTCTCGATTTCAAAAGTCGAAATTTCGATTTAGTGCGCAATTCCTCATATAAATGGTACATGACTACTTCGGACAGCCATTTACCAAATTAGGAGCTGAGGTCTTGCTCTCGAAGCACGTAATACGTAGCTGTAGCCCTTTTCACACTATGGATGACTTCCAGGCTCGAGTTTTGAACGAGGCTAGAACTAAGAATGCATGACAACGCGATTTGGCAGTTTCGAACGAGCCTATCTTTTACAGACGTTTTCCAAGAGTAGTCCCGTAGGACATCAGAGTGGGAAAACGGCCGTACCTACGGATTTCGTGCATTGATGGCCCTATGGCCCCTAATACGGATCGAATGCAGTGCGTAAATGCTCTTATGCTGTCTATATAACGTTTGCCGAGAGACTGGTGCTTTTAAATGGGACAGAACGTACATAGGTGCTTTTCTAGACGTTAAATAAAAACCCTTAATGACGTTTTCCGTATTTATCGTAGGTACACTGAGTTGTACGACAACCTACGTACATTGCATGTAAGATGAATAATTACCTCCAGAATAAACGACATCATGCTGCAATGGACCAACGTGAATGCCCATCTTGAGAGCTCCTGTCTGAGTGTCAACTTGTCTCAGCGTGGTGCCTTCGCCGAAGAACAATGGTTTCTTTGCGTCTACGACAATCCAGTCGAAATATGTCCGCCAACATCTGTGTGGCTCTCCGGGCTAAATGAAAATAACAAGAAAATTATTTCTTTCTTCTTTCAACACTAAAACAATAGGTTACACGAATGTCTTAATTACTTTAAACACAATGCGAATGTGCAGTTTGATTTTAAAACGCGTTTAGTTTTGCTTTACCGCAAGCTGTAATCTTATTAATTATTGCGATATGCAGGGCAAATAAGAAGTTTTGTGCAACCTACAAGCAAGCCTGGAGTTTCAGGACACTATACCAAACCTCTGCCCATAACAGAGGCGCAAAAACAAACACACATGAATGTACAAAACCTTCTCAAATTGAATGCGTCTATACTAATAAATGCCACACTCATGCGACATATAGAATAACTTGCACAATCTTGTAGCACGGTTTCGTCGTTTGTTTCGTCTCGACCGGTTATGCACTAGAATGAAAAGCGATGGGATGTCATTTACAACGGTTTCGAATATCTGGTACACAATATTCCATTTATTTCAACAAGTTGTACTGATGATGAAAGACTAAACAAAATATAGGTTTCCGTTTTGTATTGATGACGACTTATAAGTTTTCTTTGCGAAATGAAAAATACAGTCTGCCTAATCAGCATACGTTTGCAAATCGAAACTGCAGAGGACTTAGATAAACTTAAGCTATAAGTCCAACTGCAGATGTAAGCAGTTCACCACTATAAATGCTCTTGCACTTTTGGGCATCTCCTACATTGATAGCAATAATAATTGTTTTCTTGGCGGATATTTTATTTACATTTCTTCTAGAGTATTAAATATTGAGTTCAAGTTTAAATCACGTTAAAAAATTAACAGTTATAGTATTCTAAACAGTGATTTTTCTCAAACTATCCATACATTTCAGAGTATAGTACTGCAGTTTTTGTAATATTTATCTTTATGTATAAATAAAGCAATCTCACCTTGGCTCCGTGTGGAAAATCAAACAAATACGTCATAATTTTGTCAGTAAAGTTATATTCACTGTTTGTAAGAATGAACACTTTAGCTCCGCTCTCTCTGATTCTAGAGAGGAACATTGGTAGTCTTTCATCCTTCTTCAGATATTGCTCAATGTCCTCGATTGTTTTGGACTTGAGGTCCCCGTGGAGGTGAATATAGTCGACAGCGTTGCGCACGTCTTGGAAAATGGATTTAAACGACATCATCAAATCCCCACATCTTACGCCAGTCTTGTCCCTTAAAATGTAAATTATAAAATACCGTTTAACATTATTAATGTCTACATAAGTTATCGCCCTATATTACAATGTCTGTATATGTTATTACACTATAAAAAAGGCAGACAAATAACTTCCGACCATAAATTAGTCGCGCTAGAATTGATTTTTGTTTCATCTAAGTTCAAATTATACAGTAGATGATATTAGTTCTGCAACATTCCAAACATATTTCATTCATACTTGGCAAATGGTTGATAAAAAATCAGAGTTATTTTTGTTTTATGTTGTTGTCGGTTTTTCTGTACACAAATCATATAAAAGACATTGGTACAAAGGTCGCCCATGACATTAACATTTATATACCAATACAAATTTATATAAGAATTATAGTCTTTCTAAAGTATTATTTAATAGAAAATTGCAATATCTACAAACTGTCAGTTTAGGATATTGCATCCAAAAACCAGGTGAGAACGGCTTAAGGTTCCATTTTAAATTCACAATGTCTACAGTTCATGTACGAGTACATCCAGTGGTGGTCCACAATAAATACATATACATACATAAACTACTCGTAATTTACTTAAGAAATAATCATTAAAACGTTCTTTAAATTTACTTATAAATAAGTTGATGATGCAATAAGTTTATAATATTACCAAAACATTTCAAAGTACGGAATCTCCATATTTGTAATCACATTTGTTATCCATTTGTAGAAGCCATTATAATATGACTTTGGCAATAAAATAGCTATAGGATCGTTATCGATAGACGTAACAGAAACTAATCATATGTTACGCGTATGTAATATTATAATATGGTGACCATAACTCATATGCAACCGAAATTGTCAGAAACTTCTAACAACTCATAATAGTGAATAATCTATAAGGGTTGGACTCCACTTCTCAATGTGCTACAATACTGCGTCCGTACTGTGTTTTGTAACTGCTTGGTCCCATTGTGTTATCTACCGAAGTAAGTCTTACTTTTTAATGAAAAACTTCATCTTTTAGCAAAGGGTGACGCCATACGCGCAACCAGTACTTTCATGAACGAAAACTAGCTGTGGAATATATTTTAGTCAGCCAATGTAAATGGTAATATTGCATTTCATAGGCCTTTATTATTTCGATCCTTTGTGAGATCTGTAGGGTTAGCATGGCAGGGCGCGACTTGCGCGAGAGCGACATAAAGAACGAGATCTCTTTGCGAGAATAGCAGTATCTCGCGGGTATGTATTTAACTGATCATTTTAAATTTGCAAAAGCAGCAGGCAAAAAATCTAAACGGTCATATTTTTTAAACGATTAATCCTTTTTTTCTGAGACATAAAATAAATTAAATCAATGTACATTTAAATCTGTTCTGAACTAATGTTTGATTTATATCATTTAACTTTGATAGTTTCCCGTTGAGCCTCAAAACTAAGACAAATGAGCAACAAAAAACGTGGAACCATGTTCGGAAACGCAAGCAAATTCGTTTCTGGCTTTTTCATATACTAACCCAACCGGCTGAATGGAGGGCGCAACCAAGATTTGACCTATATGAAAAAAGAGAATCAAATATTATTTTTGACAATCAAATATTAATTTAGTATGATTAAACGTAATAGTGTTACCCGGAATGCAATTATTATTATAAATTCTCCGTAGATTAACTAATATAGACCGAACAGTTATTATTATATGAAACATAAAAAAAATATCGTTTTTTTGAAAAAAGCACATTTACAATAGATCAATTATATCTTTGAGGATCAAATAATATTATCCCATTTGTGTCGCTATCGTGCTAGCCCTACTCTCTCCTAGTAAGGTACCTACGCGTTAAAATGATAGACATCGGTCAAGCTTTTCATTGATGAAACTTTTGTCGCAACTTTTTCGCACTATTATTTTAAATGAGGTCACGTTATGAAGACTCATAAAGTTGATATTTTGAATGTAAAAGGTGTAAATAATTATAACTTCTTTTTATAAAAAAACTGACGTTAAAAGTGTGTGGAATTTACTTCTATTTGCCAAGTTTTATTGAAATCGATTAACGAAAAGTGGGTGAAATCCAATAAAACGGATTCATCCCCTAATTGGCCACACTTAGAGGGGGAACGTTTTTTCAAAGAATGAGACTGTACTGAGGTACCCCTTTCCAATAACAAAAGACTCGTCAGAATCGGTTCACATATGTCACGAGTAATCACGTAACATACACTTAAAACAATTAATTGAATTGAGAACCTCTTCCATTTCTTGAAGTCGGTTAAAAAGAGGTTCCAATAGTTACTATCTTAATATTCGTCATTATTATTATTATTATTATTTATGATAACTTGTTACATTATTAATTCATAATCTTAAACTTAACAGTATTTTATAAACTAAAGTAAGTTTTTCTAAATACCGACGATTAATCGCTAAGCGGTTTTAACAATAACAAAAAGAAAAATGATGAATGTATGTTGTGTTTGTGTGAGTGAATGGTATGATGTCACGTGCGATCATGATATACTAATCCTATGCGTGCGACCTGCGTAATGATAGTGAATTCACGAGGTTAACTTTTAAAAAAACGACTAAAGAGTAGTTAACCTTCCCTTATAACAAAAACGACATATTAACCGACTTACCTTGTGTACTGATGCGAGTTAGTGAAGTATAACAAAAACGACATATTAACCGACTTACCTTGTGTACTGATGCGAGTTAGTGAAGTAATCTATAAGGCACGCTATTAAATACGTTTCCGGCAAATTAAACAGTGTATTCAGAACATACACTCTGGATTCATCTAGCGTTAAGAACTTATTAGGATACAGCTCGTATACTTGTGAACTGAAAGGAAGAAACACATTAAAATATTATGTTAAAGATGTTACTGGGAACAAAAACTATCGCGTTGACATTTAATTAATGTCGCTCCGTAATTAAATTACAATGTCTTACACCATGAAATATGCGTCTTCTAACATTAATCCACAGAAAATATGAAGTAAGACGTGGAACTATTTTCAATGTCAAAATGTGCTTCAAACACGTTTCAAATCTTAGAGGTCATATAATTTGAATGTTAACTAGAATATAAGTTCATACAGAAAACGTGTAGGTGAACTTGAACAAACTAAGTAAGTAATATATAATTGTTAGAAAAAAACTTACTGCTTCAAAAATTCAAATCCATGCACACACACTAATATGTTACCGTAAGCATCTACTTTCAATAGGTTACCATACAACGTGTCGAACCATAGACCTCTGAAAAGAAAATTAGGACATTAGTTTGATTAATTTATTATTAGTAAACAATAAAAAAACCATTGAAGGATTTATAAGGCATTGTATCAAGAAAACACAATAATAATAGAAAAAAACCTGGAATAAGTCTAATCCTATTCTTTCCTTTGGCTCTTCGTAGTTAAATGAAATGAAAAAATAAACCAATAAATCATTTCAAGCCAGCCTATTAATTATTTCTACAATCTTTTAGATAGATACTTTAAGCTTGACACTTTGAATCGTTCTTAGTTCTTATCGTAAGCGGCGCTGTAGAGTCGAATTTAAATATCGACTTCTTATGTTTTCGCGATTGCTACACATTACGAAATGAAACAATTTTTATCAAAACGTTGTTTTAAATAAAACAATGTTTAATCATAGTATAATAAGAAAAATATGGCAACTTCATGCAAACGTAGCAACGCGTACCGACGTAGTGTTTTTTTACCCCGAAAATCGACATGTTCCTTTTAACAAAAGAATCAGAGAAAACTTTTTCTCTGATTCTTTTGTTAACAGGTACATGTCCGATTTTAGGGGTAAAAAAACACTGTGCGACTGACGCACACATTCACATAGTTATTTTTTTATACTAAGTGACGGGACGAACAAAGCGCCCGATGGCAAGCCCACGCCCACGCCCACCCATAACAGTTGCAGTACCACTCAGAGCCCTAAACACAAAGATCTGAGGGGCACCACCACCCCAAGACATAAGTTAACAAGTCCCATGTGCCTGTACTTTCACCATAATTTCGCGATGTATTATCATTACATAGCGCTGGTCGTTTAACGCGTCTTTCATTATTATGCAAATGGGAGCGTCTACACACCTACAAGCCGCGGTACTACGTTTGTGTGGAGTTACCATACTTGTTTTATTTACAGTCAGCCGTAGTCACGGGATATGTAAAGTGCCAGAAAACTTTGTTGGTGTGTTTGCAAAAACCAATATAATTTAGATCCGAAACAAATTGTTTCATTTCCATTGAAATAAAATTTTAAGTGTCAAGCTTGACGTGTTCTAGACCCTGTATACCGGCCATTCTCACATTTGGTGTTCTCAGCCTAATTACCGTAGCCATTGTTTTTTCTCGCTTTATATACCCAATAACATTCAAATATGAACAACTTTAAACTTAACTATCAATATGTCTGAATGGCATTAGTATAGACAAAGTAGTTTTCTAGTTTTTAAGAAAGGAATATTTTATGGAAACGGTAATTAGATCTAATTACCGTAGTCATGGATACGGTAATTAGATATAATTACCGTAGTCATGGATACGGTAATTAGAAAGTTCAAACATTTTTTAAGAAAAACTGACTATTTCTGACACAACTGAATTGTTATTTGTATATTTTGCTAAATTTGGTTTATTTCTATAAATACAAGTGCCACTCAAGATTTTGTTAAATAAATTTAAAGCAAGTTTTTTAATATTTGGTTAGTGGTAATGATTAAAAATTACTCCAATTCTTTCCTATGGTCAATCACAGCTGTTACAAGAACAGCATAATAATTTACATTTTGACTGTGTAACGGTACGGTGTAATTCATTACAAAAAGCGAAGAAAATGAAAATCAAAGTTATTTATGCGTTGTTAGTTGTACTTTATAATTTTTGTTTTTATGTTTTCTTATAAATGTTTGCACTTTCTAATTACCGTATCCATGGATACGGTAATTAGATCTAATTACCGTTTCCATAAAATATTTTTGTCTTAATAACTCAAAAACTACTTTGTCTATTCTAATGTCATTTAGACATATTGATAGTTTAGCTTAAAGTTATTCATATTTCAATGTTATTGGATATAATTAACACTGACTGTGAGAATGGCCGATACTAATATATCGTCCGTTTAAAGGTAAAAGGATATAAGTGACATTCTCCACAAAAAATTTCCAAATTAAGTACCAGTTGTGAGAAATTTACCATCTTTATGCAGATAAAACCCTTATTAAGTTTATAGCTTTTTTTGTTATTGAGCTTTACGTGCAGATTTACGATTGATAATACGATGATAAGTGATGTTCTTACCATAGCTATTTAAATTAAAGACTTTTTGTGGAACAGGTCACTTATATGCTTTTACCTTTAAACGGACGATATAATAGTACAATATTCTTTTCACATTAACTGAAACAAAGGTTCTATACTGAAAACATAATTTTCTAAACGAAGTATATTGAAACATACCTGACAGGAAAAGAAGGATCATATTCGAATTCTAATATTTCCTTAGGATACCCCTTTTCAACTAATCTTTCTTTGGTTAAATTAAATCCTAACATTTCGTATTGTGGTGATTTGTACTCTGTAAACAAAGATTAGCGGTTGTATTTAATCAAAAGCAATTTTGTTTTATTATATTACGATAATAAATAAAACTTCAATCAATAAAACTTACCAGCCAATGTGTAGTCCATATCAAATCCATAGAACTTAACATTTTCTAAGTGTAGTGACCTGTTTACAAATATTCTGAAACAAAAAATATATATATAAAGTCACCAACTCTGCCGCTCTTGGTTGAAAAGGCGCTTTTGAGTAAAACTCAAAACCGAGAAAATAATGTTTAAAGAAATAGTATGAAAAAATATATGCTGTTTCCAAACGAAAAAAATGTAACACTTTCTGCAAACGCAGTAAGATTAAACCTACATTATACGCAAAATATAGCATTTAACATATATTATTATTATCCTTCATTATGTCATTATTACACTTTTCCGTTTAAACTTAGTAAAAATGTGTTCGTAAAATATTAAATACTAGGTAAGATAGGCGCAAGTAACCACTTATGCCTTTTCAGCTTAGCATAATTACAACACTATTGTTAACTTTAGTGTAATAATAAGACAAAAGGGCAGAATGTAGTTACAACGTCTTTAACAACGTCTTCTTTTGTAGCTTAACATTTTTTAAATATTTATTAATTAAATAAGAGGTAACATTTTCAATTTTTTTTTATTTATTTAAGCATTATTTTACTGTCATCTGGGAAATTAACATTTTTCGGTAAATGCATATATGTACATTATACAGCTTTAACTGAGTAAGATAGAACCTTAAATGTCACTTGCGTCTTTTCACTTACTATGTGATTGAAATGTGTAGTCAAAACAAAATTATGTATCTAGGCAATTACGCCTTTTTACTAATTTATTTTCTAAATACGTCCAATTAACTTAGTTTGACCATAAAAGTGTGGGTACTTACGCCCTTTTCTCTTACGGTAACTTCATACCTAATCTACCTAGTAAAAAAAAATTGTGGCAGGTTTGTTTTTTTTTCGTGATCTGCCTAGTAGTACATGTAACTCATTTTTTGAAAAAGTGTCACATGCGCCCTTTCAACTTACGGCGGCAGAACTGCAACCATACTGCAACCGAACAACTCGCCGAGATCTAAATAATGGGCCCCAATACGATAGTTTTTTTTAACGCACACAGTCATAGCCCCGCACTAGGGAAACCCTATATCGCGGGTGCCATGAACACACACATAAGTAGACAACCACAAATTACACCCAATGTAGGCCATACAAATATTTCTCCCCGCTCAGGAATCCAACCCGAGACCTCTGCGTGGCAGTTCAGCATGGTAACCATTCGGTCACGGAGGCAGTTCTATTGTAAATAGTTGAGAGTCGGTAGTGCAGTGTTTGCAGTATCAGATCTAAGTTATTTATTATTGCAAAGTATTTGGATTTCCATACTATACCTATATGGAGTTTCTGGTTATACACTCGATGTATACAACATTTCATGTAGATCCTTACACTAAATGGGAAAAGACCTGATGATATTTAAACAGAAACTATCCCGATTAAATCGCCTTGAAATAAAGAAAAAACTTAATTTATAACATCTGTTCAGCCGTTTGGCAGCTACGACGCCCTGATATCACTTACACTTTGTCCGTGTATCTAGACACACGGATGGATGCACAGACACAGGTTTCAATCGTATAATTCCCCACTACCTACGTCGGAGTTTAATAAATAAGCATCTTGCATTGATTCTTTTGGAAGGCGAACATTCTAAATACAAAGCAGATTTGTTTTAGAATAATGAAATCCATTCAGATTTCATTAGTGCAGAGAATCACATTTCTACAGGGTATGAAATACGAATAACAGTTCGGGACAAAGGACATTCTCAGATACTAGATCCTCAAAGCCCGATTGATTTAGAAATTCGTACAAAAATGTTTAGGCTCGGAACGGAATGGAAAAACATTTTTGTAACGAAATTGTACATATCATAACGAACTCTACGTCTATTGTGTAACGTACAAACTAGATACGATAATGTAGCTGCGGAAATCCCCAGACAGCGCGAGAATTCTCCGGAAGACGTGCCACCTGTTTTTTTGCTCGCATCTAGTTTGTACGTTACACAATTGACATAAGGTTGATTTGGTTACGAAACTTCGATTCTACCGGTTCCGGGGCAACGTAAATTGAACCTTAACAACCCACGCAAACTTGAATCAGATTTTATGTGCAAAATATTTCCCTACACGTTACGCAAAATCTAGACTAAACACAACTATTTGCAATAGTGCGCGATATTTACTACATGTATGTTTCAAGTGTATAAGAAAATTACCTCGAAAAGTAAATGTAAACCAATGTCAACAATATAATCAAAGATACAAATTAAATAAACCTTACACAAGTATACGTCTTATATCAAAGGGAGGACTATTATTGATTGAAGGTTTTCAACACAATATTCTAAAAAGTTAAATGTTTGAATATGGTAACACTGAGATTAATATACATACGTCATATTATATGTATATTTTAACAGTTGCTCTAAACAATACCTACATTTGTATATTACAATTATAGAGATACTCGTCGCATATAAATAATGAGTAGTGTAAAGTTTGTAGTCACACAATGTTGACTAATAGATTAACCTTACTTAAAACTTTAGTAAAATAAATACATTAGGAAGAATATACAATAGAATTGAATCTTTTACGTAATAGCAAATTCCATTATGTGAAGTAATTTTAACTATGGCGTAGTGCAAACTCGTTATAGGAAACTCGCTAGCGAAAGTTGTTATATCCGCCCTACAAATCGGCCTTGCTGCTGGAATGTTCATTGCTTTAGCCAAATGTAATTTATTCGATACTTTACAAATTACATTACAACATAGAATGTGCTCTGAGTAGTGGATTGTATTAAGAGGGTGACAGTGTAAAAAGTTTTTACTTTTAAAGTAAAGTAAAGTTAAGTAAAGTTTTTACTTTAGTAGGTAAAATTTTTGGAAACAAAAAGAAAATCAAACATTTACAAAATCTTGTTACTTGTGATGACAGAACACCCAGCATATACATACAACTAAACAATAGTATATTTTATGCTTTTTAGCTCTTTAGCTACGAAAAAATTCAGTTATTGACGAAGCCTTCTTAGCATTTTTCTGATATAATATAAAACGTGAGTAACCACATATTAAGTAGCTATTGACCTACCCATTCTTATTAAAATTGAGTCTCTATCAGAAAGTTATAAATAATTTCAGCAGAAACCTTAATTTTTTTTTTAATTATCTAAGAAAATTTTTAAAATGTGCGAACCATGTACTGACGAATTTACTAGGGTAAATTAAATGATAAGGCCAAAATGTGCAATATACTTGCACCTGGCATGCCTGTATACATATTTGCCTGCAACTGGCGTCTTGTAACGTACCTGTTCTAATTAACTTGTCTGACACGAGCAAGCAAATATGTTAGCCACAGGCACATCTAATCAGATCTTTAGGTCATGACCTAATAACCTTTTCTCTTATCTAATCTAACGTAGTATATGGTTCCTCTACCTCTGGTGCTCTATCACGTAAAATACTCTTTCGCAAAGGAACATATTAATGTTAAATAGACAAATAAGCATACTTGTTGCGAAATCGCACTGTTTTAACTAAATACACGTTGTTTGCTCGTAACATATAGGTAGATGACCAAAATACAATTAATTTAAACATCATTTGAAGAATGGAAAACGAGTATATATCAAGAATTTTAAGAATTAAGTTGCAAAAATAATTTGACATTTGTATTACACAATAGGTATAAAACGTTTAATTGATTGATTTCATGATCCACTTGGCCATGAGCAATTAAAGAGTTCAAAATTGATAAAAAGTAAGAAAAGTAGAAGGAGTAAACACTTTTAGAAGTATTTGTAGTAATAACTTCAGTTGGGTTCAAAAATGGGTTGGGTCAAAAATGGGTTCCAAAGTTCGAAATCGCGGCGTAGGGGTATTTTTTAGGTGAGAAGAAAGTTGTGAACCCTTGTCATGCAGATATTCCTAATGATTCTCGGAAATAATTGACAAAGAAATTTATCAAAATATAAAAGGTTATTTTCAGAAAGAACTCTGTTCAAGTTCTCACAACTATGATTCTTGAAGGTTTGGAATATATTGCTTTAATCGCTCCACCATCAGAATTGAGTCAGGTAGTTATAAAGTTCTCGCACGCGATCTTGCACTACACTATGGAACGTATAGGCATTGATAACAGTACCTACTACGTCATCACGGATAACCTTTTGGGTAGGATGTGAGAGAATTTCATTTTTACGTCAGTTCATTTGATTTTGATTTGATAAAATTTTTTTATCAAATGGGAGTTTTCTATAAAATACCAAGTAACCGGCTTACATATTTCTTTCATATCATCACGTAAGTCGTAATCTAGTTTCGAAAATTTTGCATCGCATCGTGTATAAGTTTCATAAAATCGTGCAACACATCATGAAATTAATGTAACACGCGAGCTGTGACGCCTCCGTGAAACTGTAAAAGTACGACACGCGAATGAAAAAATGAATTCCACCGAAATTGGTTTCTTGCGGGTGGGTTACAACTATTTTAGGCCACAAACTGGACGACAGCGAGCGGCGACGCAGTGGCGACAGCGATTCGGGCGGCTGCATGGTATAAATGGCCTGTTCTTGACGCCAGCGACCAATAACAGATTCATGGATTCATGAGACGGGTTCCCCCTGGTAGCTGCGCAACGTTAACCTCCACATTGATTTATGGCTCCCCATAATAGCACAATTCATGAAACAGGCATCGAAGAAGTGCTTCGACTCTGCTCCTCACCACCCCAAACTCCTCGTGGTGGCTGCATCCAACAATGACCCTCAGGGAACACCCCCACCGCGTACGTAGGACCCGTCGGCCAAGGGAAGTCCTCAACGACCCTGACTACCCCATCATTCTCGCTACTTTGAAGGCCAACCAAACCGCTAATCAGTCCATCTCCAAACGCACCAACCGTCCTCGCCGGCGAGGTCGCAGAGCTCCTTATTTCAGCACGTACACTAGTAGATTCTCTCCTATAGCACGCTCTTCTGGAAGAAGAGAGTAGCCCCTTAGCCGAGGTCCATGCCCACTTGGGTGCCCTCAGGCCCGAAACTTAATTTTAAGTTTATCTTACGGGTTATGAGCTTTCAACTCGCCCTCTTCTCCGGTGACGCAGTCAAAGCCATCAGCGGCCAACTGCAAAATATCCTTCACAAAAAAAAATACCAGCGACAATTACGGCTAGCACGACACGGCGCGATATGCGCGAGTGCGACATAAAGCGCGAGATACTCTATGCGTGAATAGCGGTATCTCGCGCTTTATGTCGTTCTCGCGGAAGTCGCAGCCTGTCGTGTTAGCCTTACAGATTGCTTAGTTTGCAGTGGTAAAGTGACGTAACAAGAGTGTGAGCGCGATGATATTGTGATGACCTTTTTATAATACCTACGTATTTTTTTTATTCAGTATGAGTTATTGTGGACAAGTAAACGTGAACCCGTACTACACACAAAGAAAGCAAAAAGGCGAGTTTCGCCGAAATTACAAACACTAAAGACAAAATTCGGATAAGTTCTATGATAACATTGATAACGCTAGAATGACCGTGGAAACACTGGAAACGTTTGACTATATTATTCTTCTTTTTATAGTGATTTATAATCCTTCTATTTTTATGGTCGATATATGTTTGCTGTTCCATGTTGGTGGTTTTTCTAAAACTGCTTAAATTATTTCCTCTAATGATATCCTTAAATTTGATTGATCGAAAAATAGGCGTGGGTGAACAACAAGACGACACTATGACGCGCGACGTTATATATTCGAACGCGCATTCATCGCTCGACTGGAGGGCCTCTCGTGCAACGCCGCCCGCGCCGACGCACAGTGGGCCCAAAGTGATAATTCTTAGACACAGGAATAACTTGGGAGTATCGACCTAATTTTTTTTACTTTTTTATATGATAGATAATAACATAACATTCCTAACAACTTTTATTCTTGTATAATTTCTTGAAAAGTTGATAGTTTCGGAGAAAATAAAATATTTTTTTTTGTATGGAGAAATATAGATTTTATTTTTTGTCTTAAAATATACGAAAATGTAATGTGCGTGGGTTACTTACAGTATAGTTCCAATCATTTTCTATGTAGAAAAAAATAAACACGGCACATCAGACTGCACATTTTTGTTCGAAAATCGCCTCCATTGCAACGGAACAAGATACGTCAATGTGTAGCTTGATGTGCTGGCGTGTTTATAAGTAAAGGTGCGGCAAAATTGCTAAATTGCTAACTCTTTTATGTACTTTTTTAATAAAATACATGAGCTAAGACTAAAGAAAAAATCAATTTTAGTGTAATTTAGAGAGTGTTATAACAATAACACGAAAGTTTAGTAGAAACTAGTATATTGTGTTAAAAAATAAATAACAAATAAAAAATTTTGACACCTTTTTACTCGTAAAGCCGCAAGTACCTGGAGATGGATTATTTTTTTCTTGATAGAGAATAATTGAATCTATATTGTAAATAAATCACACACGTTATATTTTCCTACATTTCGAGATAAAAAATAAAATGTTTATTTCACCAAAAAAAAAATAAAATTTTTTATATTCTTTGAAACAATCAGCTTTTCAAGAAATTATATAAGAATAAAAATTATCAGGAATGTTATTATTTATCATATGAAAAAAATCAGCTATGTATTTCTAAAATTGCTCCCATGATTAAACAATAATTGATAATTCTTGGACATTTTTTCTCTCTCTGAAACTATCAACTCAATTCAAGAAATTAAACAAGAATAAAAGTTGTTAGGAATGTTATTACCTATCCCATAAAAAAAAATTAGCTCGATACTCCACAAGTTATTCCTATGTCCAAGAATTATCTCAATATGGGCCCACTGTGCGTCGCCATCGATATGCATACTTAGGCATTTTGATCAAGCCACAAACCGCATCGCTGACGCTATCGCGCCGCGCCGCACGCTGTCGTCCAGTTCGTAGCCTTAAAATGCTTATGGCGCTCCAATTCTATCCTGGTGCCAGTGGATTAGTTCCAGAATTAACGGAACCAAGAATTATACAAATACAGAAGGATGACCAATGGCAAAATTCCAGCGCCTCCAGCGTCAATAAAATCGCATATCATACCTGATTCCGCTTCTAAGAGCCCGAAATACACTGCAGTGCTTCCTATTCAACCTTGTTCTATTAACTACAACTGACAAATTAGAGACTATAAATAAACTGTTTAGTATATTTACTGACTACATCTTGTAAATTGCCCACTAGACCACCTGTAAGAATAATAAAGGTGCTTACAGTAACCACAAGATTATTTCCAGACAAAATCAAAAGTAAAGATTTGGTCGTAGAAATTAACGCTTACAATGCGATAGCTTAGCTGATGCGATTACATATTATAGAAACAATTTTGTGGCAATTTGAATTTAATTTGTCCAATGAACCAACTGAACAGTCGAACGTCATTTCGCATAGTGACGCAGTTTAGTTGCGTCCTACTAACTGCGCTCACGTATGTAAAGTTACATGTTATAGGTATCAGATGGATCGAATCAAATTATCATAAATTCTAAAAATATTGCTAATTTCGCTTACAATTTCATATCTAACAAATAGATTTCTTCGTCAACAGATTTTTACTTCATAATATTTTCTTATGTTTTTCAGAATGTTACATATGTGTATATGCTATATTATTGTATATATACAAAGGCAAATTCCATTTAACAAACAAATTTACAGTGCAGTGCTAAACGGGCAAAACATTCCGTTGGTATTACGCAGAATAGGTACAAATTAGTAATAACTCACACATTAGGAGCTGCCGTTGTCCTGTCTCCTTTCCCGTACTCATTTCTATGACCTACAGATCCCCGTACTACTTGTGCAGATCCATTCTCCATAGTACCTTCCAGCCTCATAGCAATCCACGTGAGTAATAAGAAATTCAGCTCAGATCAAACGTTTCGTATTTATATTACACAATCAACCCACGCTCCTAAATGTTAATATCGGCAAAGTGTTTCTCGGTAAAGCTCCTTATTATCACTATAAGCAAAGTTGCTGTATAAATAGGACCCCTTCCGAGCTCGTTCCTGGCGTATGTGTTTACTACTACAGAAACGCAGGAAACGTTTAGTAGATATCCTTGACAGTAACAAGGTTAAAAAACCGGTCTAGAATAACATCCATCTTTTATGTTACGGTCACAGAATCATGCATGATGTGTGCATTTCAATATTAAGGATGAGTCGTAAAACTCCTCATTGAATTATGTGAGGTTTAAAATACATGTTGTTGCGAGAGGTTTATATTTGTATAAACTTATAGGCGTTGTAGAAACAGCTATAGTTAGATGGGATTGTAGTGAATGGGTTTCATTGGGTACTGGGATGCAGGGCGCATGAGGGAGCGACGGCCAGGACTCGGCAATCGATATAATTTCGCTCCCACGCCACTAACTAGCTGATTATAGAGTCAACTGTATAGGAAAACATAGGCTTTTCCTGCACAGCTTACACTGTCAAGTTAAAAATTCTTTCACGTATCTATATTGTTATGATATAATCTTAATACGCTTAAGATATCTTAAGTAACAAAAAATACTTTAAGCAAATAACTATTTGGAAAGAACCGAGGACATGTAGGTACGTGTATTCCTGTATTGTTTGATGCAATCCAATTTATCAACAAGTATGTTTGAGAGGTAATGAAGTACGAAGTAGAAACTTAATCACAAGTTATATTAAGAACATACAATGAATGCATGCGTCGTATTTTTGCAACTGACTACGTATATTTAATTAAAAAGTCATTGTACTGAAAGTAAACAATGAACCGTTTGCATTCTGAACAAAGAATGAACACTTTTCACATATGGTCCATGAGATAGATAATAAAGCAAATGTGAAAAGAAGCAATATTTTTCTTCGACTAATAACTTTAACCAAAACCCATAGATACATATATATTCATATTTAGTTAGAAGAATTGCAAGTGGGATCAATTTGTAAACACTTGTATGAATGACAAAACAGTTGGTCGTTTCCACAACTATCAATAACAACAATTTAAATGGAAATGTGTATTCTAGAAATAGATGTATGTAGTCATCGATGGTGTCAAAACAAAAACTGAAATAGTTAAAGTAACTGATAGAGAAATAACAAGTTGTTAAAGGAAACCTTGTTTCTGTCGAAAATTACTACTTAACACGAATGAACAAACTGAGAGAGTCACGAATGTAAACACTAGCACAACATATTTATAATACCGTTGGTTCTTTGTGCATCAAACACAAATTGACAGATTAGAACAGTTGTTAATTTTGGCCGTAACACAGTTTGGAAAGCGCCACTAATCAAGATCGCAGTGATAAGCGTATTTGTGATATCGGTTCGATATAAACGCGACGCAGTGCGCTGCGGCGGGGGCGTCGAATCATACTGACTGACGCCCGATGTTTTGCCGCTTCGGCTATACCCCACCGTATAACAGCACAATGACTCCCCGCCAGTAACGACGCAGTCAAATTGCGAACAGCTGATTCACACATTTCGATATTTTTATGTAAACCAAGATGTCGACGTGGTCGTTCAAATGTTTGCATCCAAGGTAGTCGAAAAACCTATTTACTAAGTTTGACTTTAGGTGGAGTTTACATGGGTTGAGAGGACCTACGTGTTAGTATTACAAAAATTTACCTTAACAGATTAAATATGAAGTTTACCGGATTAGAGAGTTTCTTAATTATTTATTAAAAATTCGCCTATTTCTGTAAAACTTAAATGGTTAAGAAAGCTTGATCTTCAGAAGACAGTACTGCAGAGAATACAAATCGTAGACATCGCATAGTGCCAAAGAGTCAAAAAATTCGCGTCAAGGTACATAGACCATTGTCTATGTACCTTGATGAAAACGTCATACAAAAAGGGGAATACCCAAAGTGTTAAATTTTGTTATACTCAAATATTACAGATAAACAATAAAATGCAGAAAACAATTTCATAAATTGCTATTGACAGCGACATTAATACCGATTTAGACTCACTAATGATCGGAAAGAAGTATCATGGAAATATTTGTAATCCATTGTAGAATATCTGGGAAGAGTCAACAAGTGTGTCACTAGCGATAAGTTTTGGATGATGTAATAGACGAAGTATTTGACTGTACGGCTGATTGTCGATGTCAATGGTTCGGAGAAAGCTCTACCGATTCTACTCGCACTTCCTTATTATTTGTACCACGTACAAAAGTATAATATAAACAAGAAGGAATTTTAGTGACAAAAACAAGCCATTAATTGCACTACTTTGATTTTAGGAGATTTTGTAATGTTTATAGAATTAATTACAATTAACACGTGAAACGTGTTGCAACTCACTCCATTGCTCTTTAGTATATAAATTCACCTATTTGATTAGCAAGGTAGAAGGTATGTTACCCGTAATCACGAAGACTAACATGATTTACAACGTAAATATCCGCAAAAAATTTCAAGTCACTGTTCTTTTTTTAAAGATTATAAGTATCTCGTCAGGTTTCAAAAGATTGTCTAAACTCCTGAATTCAATCATACATATCGTATCAGTACCACTATTTCAATAACATCATGGTTTTCAGCCTCTTCCATGCATCGAGAAACGTGAACACGTTCTCATATCTGTTACAGTAATTGAATAAGACGCTACAGCGTGTGCAATGTATAGGCAGATAAGATAAAGTACGCAATACTAAATTAATCGTAGGATAGCAACTACAATAAGCATATCAGTTAGAAGATATCGCGTTATTTGATGTATTTATGTTGAGTGAAGTACGAACAAATATACGAGTTAAAACAGTAATCACATCATTGCCATTCAAATTTACGAAGCGACATTTACGACAAGGCTTTTACAGCTTAATGTTTAAGCATTATATAACACAGTTCCTACCTAGCATGACATTACGCACTGCAGTGTCTGTTATTCTGCTCTACACACCTGTGTTCAAGAACTCTCTTATCGAACCAAGCACTGTGCATGGTGCTGAGGGACTCTGCAAAACTGTCGAGTTCGGGTTCACTTCTGTCACTTCTTGAGAGCGGCCTCCCGATTCCTACTTCGGATTTGTCAGGAATCTCTACCGCTTCATCACCAGCTAGAAACGCTACTACCAGTTTTTTCTTCGAAGAGGAGTTCGAGCGTGCGCGGATATCTTGCGGATTTACAGGCGGAGATAACGGATAAGCACTTTCAAATGCATCGGGCATTTTCGATTTAAATCACAATCAATCGTTTGAAATCGAACAAAGGGACCGTCTCGTTACGATTTGAGAAGTCGACTGATGATAATTTACTGTTGCAAAACAAGCAAAACGGTTACGCGATGACCCCACGCAGAGATAATTCGATAACTCTTGACCGAAGACTGCTGATGTAAAATGTAATGCCTATTATCTTAGTGTACGATCGCATTAGGTATCGAAAATTTCCAATCATATTATACATATAACATTATTATTTATAAAATATTATTTAAATGGTGTGAACACAATTAAGTTTTGCTGAACTACTTGACAAATCTCAGAATTAACAGAGAAACCCACAAAAGTATGTAACAAAACGTCTTTTTTACGAGTGAACATTAGTGCGACAATTAATGACGATAATTCTGCTAAACTTTCAGCAAGGTGTACCTAAAATAATGAAAATATCATCAACACACCTACAAGGTTGATCATTTTTTGTGTAACATTGTTCTTTGTCAATGGTAAACAAAACAACTGTAGAATACGCACATACCGAGCTGGTACCATCAAATGTAGGTAGGTGCAAGAACTATGCAGAGTATAAAGTACATGCCCAGTTTCTGTAAAATTAATATTTCTTTTGTATTTATTTTATACAATAAAGAATACATACATAGATATGCAACTATTCTGCATGTAGAAAAAATGATATTGGCGCTACCGGACAAAATGGGCGAGCTTAAGGCTCTTAACAGTATGAAACTATTACACGATCCTATTTTCTAGACTTTATTATTATTTACTTACTTACTTACTTTATTATTAGGTACTTTCTATTTTCGAGACACAAAACTATTTTATACCGTAATAAGCTATTCAATGACATGAAAACAAAGTCACACATATTGAAGGCATACCGTCTATTTAAAATAGTAATCTAAAAAGTAGCCAACTAAATATAGGCGTACACACATGGATCTTATAAAACAGTAAATAATTTAAATTGTAGTGATTTGAGACGGGACCTGTCACTGACTGTTAAATAACTATTTACTTACTACTTAAATGTTTTATTTAATAATTATTATTAAAATAGTTGACAATTTTTGTCTAATTTAAATGCTTCATTCCTTGCAACCATTGCCCCTGTCTAGTTTAGTACGCCCGACCCGCGTCCGACTCACGCCCGCGTTGTGTATGAAGGCAAATGATCAGCGCGTCTAGGCGTTTGACACGATCCGACCCACAACCTCTCCCAGTGTGCTTCACGTTTTATTGAATTTAATATGCGGCAATTATACGTGAGGCGCACTATAAGTTTCCGGAATGAATAAGAAAAAATACTATAAATGGTCAGAAATGAATTTATTATTTTTCCGGATTTAAATCGCGTATATTTGTTTT